CTCTCTTGATTTTGTCTGGCTTCTCTTTCAGGTGAGCCTGGTTTTAGGCATCACTGCCCGTGGATTTCCATTGCAGCCAGGCCCTTGCCCGAATTGGCAGGGCTGTCACGGCTGCCGGGGCAGACGGAGGCTCTGGCTGTCACTTCAGCCCCAGCCCGGTGCCTGCAGGGGAGCAGCCCAGGTGTCTGGATGCTTTTCCAGCCAGCTCCCAGCTGGGCTTGTTGGTGGCTCCTGGATTCCTGCCTGCACAAATCCCTGAGCTGTGCTGGAAATCTGCCCTTCCCTCTGCCAGCTCTGCCTCCCGACAGGCAAACCCCGCACCCGTGAGGATGCAGGAGCAATTCTGAGCTTCCAGCACCTCTTTGGCATCTCCATTCGATGGAGGGGTTCCTCCAGGGGTCTGAGGGGGTCGAGGAGCAGTGGGGGAAGCTCGTTTGGTTCTACTGGGAGATTTTGAGGCATTCAGAGGGGAGGGGACAGAGCAGTGCTGCTGGGTGAGGCTTGGTGGCTGTGTCCCCCCTGGCTCTGCACCCACAGCCCTGGCTGGTGCCTCCCTGGGGACTCTGTCAGGATCTGGGGACTGAGTTTGGTCAGGGATCCCAGCCAGGGATGGAGCTGCCTCTGTGTGCGAGCCCTTCCCAGCCCGTGCTGGGGCTTTGGGTGGGTTTGTTGCCCTTCAAGGACCCAACGTTTGCTGCCCTTCAAGAACCCAACAAGCCATGCCCTGCTCCATCCCTGAGTGGAGGAGATGTTCTTTGTTTTCCCTAGCTCTGTCCCTTCCTGCCTTGTGCCCTGCCTTTGCTTCTCATGTCATCACCAGGTTTGGCTCACCATCACTGACACGGTTCAAGTGCCAGAGCATTGCTGGGACCCTCAGTGCCTTCCTGGACAGTGGGATTTCCCTGGGAATGCTGAAATCCTCAAGCCACATCCTCAAACAAAGGAGATGAGCCTGGAGGGCACATCCTGATCCCTGCTGAAACCCTGCAGAGATGCCACCAYCTTTGGGGGATGTTTGAGGTCATTTTGTCAGGCACAGACTTTGACTCCCAACCCTGTTCTGAGTCAGTTGAGTTAAAAACACCAAAAGCAGAGAGATTTCTGAAGAAAATCACCAGACTAATTTGAAAAAAAAATGAATTTTTCCCTTCAAAAAGTCAAAACATTAAAAAAAATGTTAAAGCTGAAATATAAGAAAACGGTCTGAACGTTGTAAATTCCCAGTGTGAGGATGATCCAGGGTGTCCGAGCACCCTGTGGAGGAGCTGCTACAGCCTGGCTGGTTTCCTGCACATCCTCCAGCAGCAGCGGGACACRTGGATGAGGAAGAAGATGCCGGTGATGACACCAAAGCTGATGCCCACGGCCCTCATGACAAAGATGGACTCGGGGTCGGAGGGGCTGCGCTGGCGCCGGGGCTGGAAGGTGATGCTGAGCTGGAAGCCGGCCACCATCTCGCCCTGCCGCCAGCAGAAGTAGGTGGCTTTGTCGCTCTTGCGCAGCTGCCGCAGGTGCAGGTGGTTCCCGTGGTCGATGAACACCCTCATGTGTTTCTTGACGCCCACGAGGTAGTGGGAGCGGTAGAGCCGGRCGGAGCCCTTGTCCCAGGCCACGGCGTGCTCCGGCCGCGCTCCCGGGCAGGCAATGACCAGGTCGCTTTTGGGGGGCTGCCGGTGGTACTGGATGGGCACCCGGGGCAGCCGGGGCTTCTTGCCCAGCTTGTAAACCACGTTGGAGATGGACTGCACGCCCTCCTCGGGGGCTTTCTTCTCTGGGCAGGGGGCCAGGCAGCTCCGGATGGCCACCTCGGGGCTCCGGAGGCGGATGAGGCGCTGGAAGCGCGCGGGCACGGCCCTGGAGCCGCAGGAGGTGACGTTGGGCAGTGCGGTGCGGTAGCGGGGGTTCAGCCGCGCGCTCTGCACGTAGCACAGCCCGATGCGCCGCTGCTCACCCCGCACCCCGCAGCGGTCACAGCCYGTCCAGTCCCAGAAGGTGGTGAAGAGGCTGAATTCCTTCCCCTTGTAGTCCTCTTGGACGTGCTGGTCGTTGTCCAGGAACGCCACGGTGATCTTCCTGGTGGGCTGCACGTCCACGTCGTAGCCGTAGAAGAAGAGCCCGTCCCTGGTGCCGCACAGGTAATGGCCCGAGTCGCCCTCCTGGGCTCGGAACACGATCAGGCTGAACATGCGGATGCTGAAGCGCTTCAGGAGGTCGCTGCCTGCGCGGACGTGGCTCGAGTCCACTACCACAGTGCCATTGAAGTCCGTCAGCACCGTGGTTTCGTGGCTGCGCAGGTTCTTCTGGAAATACCAGACCACAGAGGAGGCTTCCTCGGGCTTGCACTTGCAGGGCAGCTCGAAGGTCATGTCTGCCAGGTACGCAACATTCTCAAACATCAGAAAGGCRGGACATGCCATCTTCTTGAACACGTCCCCTTTATTCTCAATGGCGAAGGCCTGGACAATGTCCACCAGGGAGAGGAGAAGGGCGGCTCCCAGCAGCCTCGTCCCCATCGCTCYGGGCGGTCTCTGGCCCTGCAGAACTCACCCAGCCCAGCTGGGGATCTGCTGGGAGCATCCTGCCCTGAGACAGCCCGGCCTGCACCACCCACCCTGGAACCTGCCTGTCCCCAGCAGCTCTGGAGCGTTGTCACCATGTCCCTGGCAACAATGGAGCTGTGCTGGGACCAGTGGAACCCCYGACATCTCATYCTGCTTTGAGCTGGGTGGGARCCYAGAGAGGATCTCMGTGCAGATCAACAKCTTCATGAGTGGTGCCATCAAGAARGAATTGGCTTTTGGGACAGTYRGTTGTGGTTTAATGATTGGGGCCTGTTAGGAGGGCAATAGAATTTTCAACCACGTGCTGGCCAATCTGCTGAGATGGGCTTTAAACGGGAAAACTCAGGGGTTTCCCCCTGACGGTCAATGCTCGTGCCATCAGTTCCTCCTGGGGAGGACATGAGGCCAATCCGTGGGGCGAGTGATGTTCTTGGGCTCAAGATGAGAATCAGGGTGAAGCCCATCTGTGGTGTGTGGGGCTGTGTGAAACCTCTCCCACCCCACACGGTTCTTGATCCCCTCTCCAAAGTGCCTGGGCACAAACAGTCCCAGAATGGGGAGCAAACCAGAACTGGAAATGGGTTGGGGGTGGCCAGGCCAGAGTCTGTCACACTGCAGTGACAGAGWCATGGCAGGACACTGGTGTGACTGGGATGTTGTCATGGATGGCCACTTGCCCCTCCACACCTCTCACCTGCACTGTGGGACACTGAGGAGGGGGCCCAGACCCCCCAGCAAAGGGTGCAGAGGCACCCACAGGCCCCGGGATGRTGGAGAAGGGGGATGGAGCCCAACSCCAGAGCAAGAGCCTTTTCCAGCTCCCCACACGAGGGGCAGGCAGGAGGGAACAGCCACGTGTTGTCCCTCAAATTTGGAACAGAACTATTTATTAAAAACACAACTAAACTACTTTTATTAAAAACACAACTAAACTACTTATTTCCTAAAGCCACCCATAACCTGCAAACAAACAAACAGGGCTGAGCCAACAGAGGGGACACAAGGGCGGTGACGCAGCTGGAACCAGGGGAAGGGGGGCAGTGGGGGGCAGGGGAGCACTGGGGGGCAGAGGAGGATGCTCGGGGTACTGCAGGAAGAACCGAACAGAAAGGAACTGGAGCCGTTTGGAGTTTGAGCCCTGGGCGGGGGGCTGGAGGCCAGAAGCAAGGCAGCTGCTCGGAGCTTTGCCCACTGCTCAGCACTTGGGGGTCGCAGCTCTGGAGCCGGCCCGGGGAGGGGGCTGGGGGTCGGTGCAGCCCCTGGTGCCGGGGTGGGCTGGGGAGTGGCACAGCGGGGCCCCAGGGACACAGCGGGGCTCTGCACGGGGCTCTGCGCTGCCTGGGAAGTCTCTGCTGCCTTCCCACGTCCCTGCTGGTGCTTTCTCCGTGTTTGGGAGCTGCGGGAATTTTCTGACTGGGAATCGTTGCTCGGCTCGGGCATCCTCTTGACCGGCCCGGGAGACATCGGCCTGGGACTGGAGCATGGAGAGAGCTCCGGAGAGCTTGGAGAGAGCTCCGGGGAGCATGGAGAGAGCTCCGGGGAGCATGGAGAGAGCTCCTGGGAGCTTGGAGAGAGCTCCGGGGAGCTTGGAGAGAGCTCCTGGGAGCTTGCAGAGAACTCCTGGGAGCATCCTGGGTCGGCGCTGGGCACAAGGGGTTCGGGCATGGTGACAGGCACCTTGGCTAAAGGAGCAGAGAAGAAACAGTCACATCCCTGCCTGCAGCTCCCGGGCACCCCCAACCCCGCGGGGCACCCCCTGCGCCCCCCAGCTCAGTGCAGATCTACTTCTACAGCCCTGCGTTGCTCCACCAAAGCATGTCCAACCCAGAGGGGAAAAGCCGGCGCAAACCCCAGCCCCGATGCCACAGCCCGCGCCCCCGCGCAGTGCCCGCGCTGTCCCCGGCAAACGGGGTCTGCAGAGCCACAGCTCCGCTCTCGGGGTAGCGCCGTGGCACGGAGGATGAGGAGGAAGGGCTCAGCCCATCCCGGGCAGGGGAACCAGGGAGGAGTAACGGAGATGGAGAAAGGCGGCTCAGAAAGCTGCTCTGGGTGCCTGGGACAGGGAGATCCCTCCCTCGGGAGCTGCCTCGCACACACGAGCTGAGCTCCCCGGAGCCCGGGGCTGTTCCCGGCTCCTGCCCGAGGCGCTGCCGAGCTGGGATCGCCCTGCACATCCCGCGGGGTGACAGCTTGGGACACTCCCKTCCCTCTGCCCTGTGCCCACTGCAGCCGGGAGCTGTGCCCACCGCCGGCTCCTCCAGCACCCACCCAGACACAGGAGAGGGACCAGTTCCCATTAACCCAATCCTCACCGACACAGCTCAGCTGCATTCCCGGGGCTGGGCCAGCCTCACTGGGCTCTGCGGGGCTGCTGGGAGCTGCAGTGTCCTCCAGCCCTGCAGCCTCATCCGGCTCCATAGCCTCCTCCAGCCATGTGGACTCCTCCAGTCCTGTGGCCTCCTCCAGCCCTACAGACTCCTCCAGCGCCAGGACCTCCTCCTCCTCCTCCTCCTCCATCTTCGCAGTCATTGCGTCAGGGCAGAGGCTGTGGGTAGAGTTTTGGGGTTTTGAGAAGAGAGTCAAACTCGGGAGCTGGGACATATCCAAGCTGTAAATCCCTTCCTGGAGAGCCTGAGCTGCGAGGTGTGTGCTCACCCGCGRGTGACAAGGGACCCTCGGGGCAGGCCAGCCTCTCCAAGCACAGCCCTGGTCCCACATCCATCCGGACCATGGACAACTCAGCCTGCCCAGGCCGAGGAGAGGCAGCAGGACGTGGGGAAGGCACAGGACACTCACCTCATTTCCTGGTGCCCGGACAGCTCCTGCGGAGGGGAATTTGGTGTCCTGGGCTGTAACTGCACATCGGGCAGGGAGGCTGCTTTGGGGCTGCCGGTAGGCATCGCGGGGCGCTGCGGCTGCACGGGCTGGGAGGAGGCAGTGGGTAGAAGTCAGTGGGGCAGCACGGACCCATCCCCGGGGCTGGAGCAGCTCCTCAGCCTGCTCCAGGCTCCAGAGCCCCCCCGGGAGCCCCGCGTGGCTGCAGGAGACACTTTCTGCGCTCAGGGACCTGCTGCTGCCATGGGCAAAAGCCCTGCGGGGCTCTGGGCTGAGCAGATTTAGCAGCAGAGCCGGCACACGCTGCTGCAGCTCCATCGGCCGCTCCTGCCCGCAGCGGCACCCCCGGGCTGGGAGATTCCCGCGGGATACGGGAGGCACCCACCAGCCCGCCCCAGCCTCGCTGTGCCCGAGCCCCGGCAGCCCCTCCCGGTGCTCACCGGCAGCAGGATGTGCCTGGCCCGGCTGGCGAAGCGCAGCGTGCTGCAGGTGTCGAGGCCGGCGGACGCGGCGGGGCTCACGGCCGCGATCACGGCGCTGCGGCAGTTGCCGCCCAGCGAGTCCTTCAGCAGGCGGGTCAGTTTGCTGTCCCGGAACGGCACGTAGTTCTGCCCGCCCTGTCCGAGRAACAACCGAGGATCTGCTCAGCCCTGGGGACACCCTCCCGGAGAGCCGGAGCCCGGCGGGGCCTTGGCCGGGAGTGGCCTCACCTTGGCTGCGGTCAGCGCACGGACGACGCTTTTGAAGGCCAGCAGCGAGCGGTTGATGCTGGTGCCCTCCAAGAGCCCCTCGCCCCCGTCCTGGCTGTCCCCGACTCGCTCCGAGCCCGCCAGGTCGATGAAGCTCAACTTGGACACATACGGAGCCCCGGCCAAGCCACCAGCGAGATCCCACTGCTTCACCTGGATCTGCGAGGACAGAGGGGGCTCAGACTGTGCCTCCACACAGCCCCAGCAGGGAACAGGGGAAAGGGCAGTGTTTTCAGGGAAAGGGCCAGTGAATCCTGTGGGGAAATGAGGCAGGAGGAGGAGAGGAACCTGGCATGTCGTGAGGACGAGCCAAACACCTGGTGATGACATGAGGAGCAGAGCCAGGGAAGGGATTTGGCAGAAAGGGACAGCTGTGGGAACAGTCAGCATCTCCCACGCTCAGTGACAGAGAGGGGTACGGCTGGTCGGGTCCCCAGAGCCTGGAAAAGCATCCAGACACCTGGGCTGCTCCCCTGCAGGCACCGGGYKGGGGCTGAAGTGACAGCCAGAGCCTCCGTCTGCCCCGGCAGCCGTGACAGCCCTGCCAATTCGGGCAAGGGCCTGGCTGCAATGGAAATCCACCGGCAGCTTTGCTCTGAGACACCAGAGAGCGCATGGACAGAGCTCCAGGGGAGTGAAATCCCCAGCTCACTCTGAGGGGACAGCCCTGGGATGCTGGTCCAGGTTTCCAGCTCCGTTTCCAGCAGCAATGGGAGCGATGCCAGAGGCAGCAGCCCTCACCTGGAAGATGGCGTGGGAGCGGGACGAGGTGGCGTTGGCCTTGGTGTGACGCTGTGCACGGTTTTTATTGCCCTTGGCCAACATGTCCAGGAGCTGCTCTGGTGACGTGGGCTGGGGGAGAAYRGAMAGGAGCCRGRTCAGTGYCCGGYCACRGCAGCTCGAGGGCACRTCTGMSRGSMRGRRGSMMCSGSRRACCTCCACAGCCCCRTGCCCCCAGCACTCCCAGCTGCTCCCAGCACTGGTGCAGGCAAACCTGCCCCAACCCTTGATCATTTTTTGTGCCCAGACCTGGTGGAAGGAGAGACCCTGTGCCACGGCTCCTTTCCCGGGCTCCTCCCGGATGTTCAGCGGGCCCTGGGGCACCAGCAGGTCGTAGACACGCTCTTTGTACACCTGCAGCAGGAAATGGAGGTCAGGCTGAGGTTTGGTTCTCTGGCCGAGGGCTGAGACAGGAGCTGGGTACCCCTGCAGGGTCTGGCACAGCCGGGTGACCCCCCAATCCCGTCTCTGGGACCTCATTGCCCCGGGAGCTGCTGACCAGGCTCAGGAGGCAGAGACAGCTCCAGGGGCTTTGCTGGGCTGTTGTCCCCACCCCACTCCTCCTCAACCCTTCCAGCCAGGAAGCCTTCACTGCTCTGTGAAGTGCAGCATAGGAGAGAAGGGTGCCCTGCTCCAGCTGGCAGAACCCAGCAGCACCAATTCACCCCAAGGGGTGGCTGATCCTGTTTCCAGTCAGGGTGGCTGACCCTGTTTCCAGTCAGGATGGCTGACCCTATCTCCATTCAGACTGCCCTGCAGACCCTGGGCACCCTGACTGTGGCACTACAGGCTCCAGATCAACCCCAAATCTCTTCCCTGGGCACCCGGGGCAGGAGGGGACGCACTGAGTCACAGCAAACCTGCTGGTAGGAGACGAGGACCTCATAGCTCTTGTCCTTCATGGCCTCGAGCCTCTTGAACAGCTCCACCGTGGCCAGCTGCACCATGCCGGGGCTGGCCTTGGAGCCCATCACTGTGTGGGTTTTGCCGGCTCCTGAAGCGCCGTAGGCAAACACTGGAGGAGAAAGGGTGGGAGGTGAGATGATCTGTCATTGCTCACCTGGCACAGCAGAAGGTCTGCTCCTGGCTGCAGAGCAGAGCAGAAGGGAGCTTCCCACAGGGATGAGGCAAAGCTCGCAACCTTCCCCTCTGCTCCTCAGGGCAATTTTCCTCCCTGGTTTCAGCCTCTCAAAGCAGCAGGGTCAGAAAAAGTCCCCAAATGACCGCTGCTCCCATGCTCAGGTCACATCTGACTCTGCCCTGGGACAAGCCAACAGCCCCATTTCCCCCAGCTCTCTCCACAAGGCGTTTCTGCTTCCAGACCCTGTCATTCCTCTCTTTTACCCCCATCTTCCAAGACCTCTTTTGGAGCTTCTGCATCCGATCTGGATCTGTGTCTGRCACTGATCTGTCACTGATCTCAGCCCTTCTCCTGTGGGCAGCACTCAGTGCTGMGGTCTGGGGACAGGGGCAGCCCTTCAGTGGCTCCTGCCGAGAGCCAGAACAGCATCCCCCGGTTCAGGATGAGTCCAGAGAGCACTGGGCTCCTCGCGGGATTGTGTTTCTGCCACCCAACGGCTGCCAACAGCCAGGAACGGCTCCAGCGGCTGCGGTGGCACTGGGGGGCAGTGGGAGCCGGCCATCCCTGCCACACCCGGCACTATGGAGCCATTCAGCCTGSGAGGGGATGGCAAAGCCAAGGGGCTCTTTTCCCATGCACCCACCTCATTTCTATCCACCCTTCCTGACCCAGGACAGACCAGAGCAAGTGATCCTTGTCCCTCGGAATGCCTGGAAAGTTCCTGCCCAGCCTCACCTCTACCCCAACGCCCACCTCTATCCTCTCCATCCCAGAGTGCCCTGAACCACTGGAAACAACTTTCAGGCTGTGTGGTTTGGGGTTACTGTTGTGTCACCCCATTCCCGAAGATGCACGGGGGGTTCCAGATTAAATTCAGTGCTCTGCTGAGCCCACCCGGCCCGGGAGCAGATGGGGCAGGAGTTCCGGCAAAGATCAGAGGTTTGTGCCCGGCCTTACCGGAGCAGTTGTAGCCGTCGAGGAGAGAGTCCAGCAGAGGGAGTGTGGTGTGCTGGAACACCTCCTCCTGCGTGGCCTCCTCGTCAAAAACGTGGTCGAACACAAATTTGAGGGTYTTGCGGCGGCGGGCGGTGCTGCGGGCTCCGCCGGGCCCCTCGGGGCTGAGCAGCACCATGTGCTGGTTCTGGACGCGCAGCACCAGGGGCTCAGCCCGCTCCTCGGGGACGGGGGGCCGCACACGCAGCACCACGGCCACGGAGCCCTCCTGGGGCGGGAGGCTCTGCGCCCCAGTGGGGACCTTGGGCTGCGCCATGGCGCTGCTGGGGGACGCGGTTCCCAATCTGGCGATCTGGGTTCTCATGTACCAGATCTGAGGAGGAATAGGTTCAGCTGGAGGGTGGAGTAGGGGAGAGAGATTCCTAGGCTGGGTGAGGTCTCAGAGCCCCTCCCCGGCTGTGCTCCCACCCCTTCCCTGTGCYAACCCCTTTGGAGCCCCACATAAGCCTGAACCCCCTTCAGGCTCCCACAGCTTCTTCCAAAACCCTGCCTCCCCTTCGGATGTCCTTGGATCCCCAACAGCCCTTCATGTTCTACTGCTACTTGAGCAGAGTAGGAACCCCCGCAGAGACCTTCAATCCCTTTGGGACTTAGCCCCCTCCCACAGCAGAGTAGGAACCCCCTCAGAGACCTTCAATCCCTTTGGGACTTAGCCCCCTCCCACAGCCTCCCCAGGGGTCCTAACATCTCCCTTGGAGCCCACTTAGCCTTTCACCTTTTGGCCCCCCTAGCCCCTCTCAGGACACTGTCACCCCTTTGCTCTGAGCCCCCTCCCACCGCCCAGTCTCCCCCCCGCTCCAGACCCCCGCGTTCCCATCCCGCCCCCGCAGCCCCGGCACCAGAACTGACCCAAGCAGCGACCGCGYCCGCAGTAGGAACTGCACAACCCACGCGTGGGGTTGGCAGCGCAAGGTACGAGCTCGTTCAGCGAGAATGGGCTCTGCAATCGTCTCCGCTGCAGCGCCCGTGCTGAGAGCAGCGATCCGAGTGCGACCGGGAGCTGCCGGGAGCGTCGGTCGCGGGACAGCCCGGCCGTTGTCACTCGCGCTCAGGAATCCACCGGTGCCCGGCAGCCCTGGAGCGTTGTCGCTCGTGGAGCTRTGCTGGCACCAACGGAACCCCCGACGATCCATTGTCGTGGAATCCACGGGGTCACCGACGGGTCTGGGTGGGACGGGATGATCTCGCTACAGCTTCCCCGGCTGTAGGGGCAGCCGCCCCTCTCTCACACCCTTCTCTGGCCACTYCTCTTTTGCCGCAGCCCAGGATGCGTTTGGTGTTTGGTGCTGCCAGCGCTGTTGGCTCAGGTGCAGCTTTTCCTGCGCCTGAACCCCCATGTGCTTCTCTGGGATTGTTCCTAAGCAGGTGCAGCCCCTTGCACTTGGCTTTATTGAACTTCCYCATGTTCTCCTGGTTCCCCTTCTCGACCCCTTTCTCCGCTCGTGCCACCTGCACCACTCAGCTTCACGTCATTCATGTGAATGTGCTGAGGGTGGGCTCAACCCACTGTCCGTGTGGAAGGGATTGAGCCCCGGTGGCATGGCAGAGCCCTGAGGGACAGCCCTGGTCACCACCCTGTTCATCTCTCTGGCTGTGTCCATCCAGCCCATTCCTCACCCACCCAGCAGCTCACCCCTCACAGCCGTGTCCCTCCCGTTCAGGGATGAGGATGTCCTGTGGGACCATGAGTTGTGTGCTGCATTTTTAAAGGGGATGAAGGAAGCTCCAGCCTGTGCATGCAGCTGTGGATTGGGGTGTCTGGGGATGGTGTTGTGTTGCACTTTGGGCTGTGTAATGAGGATCCCTCGTGTTGAGAAGCACATTTAGTGCACAGAGCTTGGGGGGCGGCTGCCCTGGGACCTGTGGGCAAACAGCCAGAGCCTACAGCAAGCGGCCAGTACCTGGCACAACCTGTTAAAATTCCCTTAGGAGATTCCACATAAATTCTAAGAGAGTTTGAGTCTCTCCGTTGGTGCAGCATTTTGGTGCAGTTACTTCAGAGGGTCGAGTACAGGACCGGGCTGTGCCTGCACCCACCACGGGTCCGGGGAGCACATCTGAGCCAGGCTCAGGGGGGACAGAGCGAGCCCAGAGTCCTTTAAATGTTTTAAAGAATGAAGTGGGAAACTGTTTACAATCCTGGGCTGTATCGTGTGCTGGACACTGCGTTCAGTGCGTGGTGGTTCSTTTGAGGCTCCCGTGCAGCTCCCGGGCTGCCCGTGCTGTCCGGCCGGGCACAAACCCCCGCGGAAGGAGCCGGACCCTCGGGAATGCCGGCGGTGCTCACGGAGCCTCCTCGGGAAGGGGATCCAGGGCGATCCGCAGGGAGAGGCGCCTCAGCTCCGAACCGCTCCTATAGCTATTCACTCCATAGTAGTAACACCGTCCCCTTTGCGCCCGCTCAGCCCCTCACAACCTGACACCGTCTCAAGCCATGGCCTCCCCACAGGCCCTGCACCTCTTGCCCTCGTACAGGGMCCTGCACCCAATTTGGGCTTTCACAGCCACGGCCCCACATTCGCTCCGCTCCTGAGGCGTTCCCGCCGCCGCGCCATTTTAAATTGCCCGCCAAGCCCCGCCCCGCTCCCTGATTGGCTCCGCCCCGCCTCCCGGCTCCCATTGGCTGCGTTCCGCGCGGTGCCTCCYGGGGTTTGTAGTTCTGAGCCCCGCGCAATGCACCACGGGAGCTGCAGTCCCGCCGCCGCCTGCGCCCCCTGCCGGCCGCTCCCGGGGCAGCAGCAGCAGCTCAGAGCCCCGGCGA